CACCACCCCCCCAGCAGCTTCCCAGCCTCTGCTGGACTCTCTCCAGTAGCTCCTTGTCTCTTTTGAACTGGGGAGCTCAGAACTGGACCCAGTACCCCAGAGGTGGCTTCACTGAGGCAGAGTAGAGGGACAGGAGAACTTCCCTTGTCCTGCTGGCCACACTCTTCTTCATGCACCCCAGGAGACCCTTGGCTACAAGGGCCCATTGCTGGCTCATGGTGAAGTCGTTGGCTCCCAGGACTCCCAGGTCCTTCTCTGTGTTCTGAACCAAAGTTTCCAGAGAAGCAGAGAGGAAACAGCCACCTTGCCCTAGAAGGAGCAGACTAGAAGCAGAAGCCAGTTGGCTCTTCTGCCACCATATTGAGGGGTCTTCCTTCTGCATCCGTGGCTATTTCCAGCTCCCCCACGAGTCTCTTCTCTGCCCCCTGAGGCAGCTTTGTTCAATTCCCTGTTTGCCTCTTCCCCACCCTGCCTTGGGGGGGGATGAAGGGGTGGGTGTCCCACCTCCTGGGCTGAGGGCAGGTGGTGTTTCTTCTCCATGGGAGCTTGAGGTGCCTGTGGAGCCAGAGCTGCCTCCAGGCCGTGCCAGCTGCTGCAGCCGTGTCCCCTCCCTTGCTTCATCTTCCTGTGGCAGCTCTTGCAAACTTCCTCTGTGAAGGTGATAAGGCACAAAATAAAAAAGCTCTTTGTGCTCCACACGAGCACGTAGCTTCCCCATATGGAGACCAGCCCCTTCTCATGGAGAAGCTCTTCTCCTCCTTGCCCCTCCCTGCTCCAGGATCCATGTAGGTGGGTGCTGGGCTGAGCCACCTCGCTGGCCAGGGGAGATAACAGGGCAGGCAGGGGCCTCGTGGGCTGCTGGGTGGGGGCTCAGATAGCAGGGAAGCTCTGGGCTTGGGGTGGAGCTTCTTTTATTTTACCAGGGTTCCCCCACCCCCCTTAGTAGTTTGTTGTTTTTTTTTTTTTTTGGTGGGAGTGTGTGAAGCAGATGACTGAGAAAATTCTGTTTGTCCCTAAATGGATGTTGCTGGAGGATCCTGATACTCCAATACTCTTGCAGTTAGAAGATGGGCACTGGCCCAGGTTGCCCAGGGAAGCTGTGGATGCTCCATCACTGGAGGTGTTCAGGACCAGCTTGGATGGGGCTTGGAGCAACCTGCCCTAGTAGGAGGGCTCCCTGCCCATGGCAGGGGGGTTGGAGCTTCTTGGCCTTTGAGGTGTCCTCCAAACCATTCTGTGACTCTGTTTGCCTTTAAATGGCTTTCTTGCTGTCTTAACTTCAAAGCAAAGAGAGTTTTTTGGTCTATTTTTGGCATTTTGGTGGTTTTTTGTTTTTTTATTTCCCCAGTGGAACAGATTTATGTGGGCTCAGGAGCATTTGACTTGATCTTTGGTTTCTTCTGACCAGCCCGAAATTCTTCTGGAAGACTTTTTGTGTAGTCATTCCCTATCATAATTCTTCTAGGAAAATTGTAGAGTTTTGGAAAATGTGTTTCCTGTCTAACACTGCTCCTCCTACTCTCCATGAATCACTTGTCCTCCCCTGTTGCTCTGGGCTCCCTTCCCTATTGACTTCAGTGCCTGGGATTTAATTAGAAATCTAGGGGTGTTATGTGGGGCTCTAAAACTCCATCAGATTCTTCTCTGTGCAGCGAGATTAGAGTAATAAGAATTAAAAAAAAATTAAATATTTGCATATTAACTGTCTTTGGTGCGAGCTGAAGAGCTGCTTCATGTTCCTGCAGGGTTGTTTTCTCCCATCCCTGGTGTAAAGCAGCCCCACCAGCCTGTCCAAAGGTCTAACCAACCCTCCAGCATGGGAAGGGTCTGAAGAACTCCAGGTTTTGAGGGTGCTTTTAGGGGAGAAATAACCAGAAATTCCCTGTGGCTGTGAACGTGGCTGGCTGGTTCCCCCAAAGGGAGGGTCTTGCCTCTGGAGTCACAGAGCTTCCCCAGAGCCCAGGAGAACCCACGTTGGCCTCTGGAGGACTTGGATCCCATGAAGCTGACGTGGCTTTAGGGTGGAAGGAGCAGTTTTGTTCAGGGTGGGGTGTATCTAGGGGCTCTTGCACTGGTGCTGGTTCATGGCTGTTGAAGATATCAGTGGAGAGAGTGGTGTTTAAAAGCAAGAGCAGGAGCCTGCAGGCTGTAACTTGGTGCACACACCCATGGGGTGCCCAGCTTTGGGTGACAGGCAGGTCCTGTGCTGCCCAGGCCCATGGGGACATTATCTTCACCTCTTGCTTCAAGCCTCCCTGCTGCAGGAGGGTGAGGGAGATAAGGGAGCAGCAGCTTCACTCGTTGAACCTCCTCTGCCAGCACAGAATCACAGGATCCCAGACTGGTTTGGGTGGGAAGGGACCTCTCAAGGTCACCCAGTCCCACCCCCCTGCAGGGAGCAGGGACATCTGCAGCTAGAGCAGGGTGCTCAGAGCTTGGTCCAACCTCACCTGGGATGGTTCCAGGGATGGGGCAGTGACCACCTCTCTGGGCAGCCTGGGACAGGGGCTCACCACCCTCAGAGTGAAGAATTTCCTGATCTCAATCTCCCCTTTTGGAGTTTGAAGCCATCACCCCTTGTCCTGTTCACTACGAGCCCTTGTGAAAAGTTCCTCCCCATCTTTCTTGTAGGCCCCCTTCAGATACTGGAAGGCCACCAGAAGGTCTCCCTGGAGCCACCTTCTATCCAGACTGCCCCAGCCCAACTCTCTCCTGCTGGGCTCCCAGCAGAGGGGTTCCAGCCCTTGCACCATTATTGTGGCCTTCTCTGACCTGGCTCCAACAGGTCCATGTCCTTGTGCTGAGTGCTTCAGAGCTGAACAAATGTCTTGTGATTCCCCAGAAAAGGAGATGCCTCCATGGAGAAGGTTCTCCCCTATAGTGCTGTCCTCAAGCTACCCTAACAAGGAGGGCTGAGGGTGGAGGACTCCAACAAGACTTGGTTTAGCATCACCAGTGATAGGATGATAGAAAAAAGAGCTGAAGTTCCTCCAGGGGAGGTTTCAATTGGATCTTAGGAAGAATTTCTCTCCTGGCAGAGTGGTGAGGCCTTGGCCCAGGCTGCCCAGGGAGGTGCTGGAGTCCCCATCCCTGGAGGGGTCCAAAAAACACATGGGCGTGGCACTTGGGGACAGGGTTTATTGGTCATGGGAGTGTTGGGGTGATGGTTGGACTTCAATGACCTTAGAATCATTGCCAAGCTTACTGATTCCACGAGTGGTGTAGAGTTGTAGGTGAGTTTAAAAACAAACAGCTTGGCTTCCCCTTTTTCAGACTGCTCCTCCCTGGCATTTGGCAGAGCTGAGGTCACTCACTCTGAGCAACCAGAGGGTTGGAACCAGCCACGTTGTCCACGGAGCAACACAAAGGGGGGGGAGGGGGGTAGGTGAAGCCAAGCTGAATTTCTACTACCAAAAATAAGGCTGGGGCACCAAAAAAAAAATGACTATGAGACGCTTGCTGGTTTACTGGGACCCAGAATATCTCACACACCTCGTGTGCTGCTCTCTCTCTCTCTCTCTCCAGGTCAAAGAACTCGTTCTTGACAACTGCAGGTCATGCGAAGGCAAAATCGAAGGCCTCACAGATGAGTTTGAGGAGCTGGAATTCTTGAGTACAATCAACGTAGGCTTGGCCTCAGTTGCAAACTTACCAAAGTTAAACAAACTTAAGAAGGTAAATCCAAACTCCTCTGCCCTTACCCCTCCCTCCTGGTGCTACAGCACACGTGTCAAGTGGTTGTTTAGCTGCTCGGACTGCTTGCACTCAACACTCAAGGTGTTTTTGTGCCTTTCAGCTCGAGCTAAGTGACAACAGAATCTCAGGAGGGCTGGAAGTGTTGGCAGAAAAGTGTCCGAACCTCACGCATCTAAATCTAAGTGGCAACAAAATAAAAGATCTTGGTACAATAGAACCTCTGGTAAGTTGGTGTGGAGAAATTGACCCCCAGTTTTGTGGTTAGTGTCCTAGAAAGGTTTGGGGTGGGAAGGGTCCTCTCAAGGTCATTGAGTACAAGCTCTCTCCAAGGAGCTTGTACTCATCTGCAGCTAGAGCAGGGTGCTCAGAGCCCCGGCCAACCTCACCTGGGATGGTTCCAGGGATG